AAGAGTACAGAAATAAAAAATGAATGCTTATGATTATGGAATTGTTTTCAAAACCTATGGAATAAACTTTTCCTTACCAGCAGTTTTTATTAACCCATAAAGACATTGTTATATTGTTTATAAAGAGAATTTACCTATCCATTAAGCTTGTCCCAACACCTAAGAAAACTGTTTAGGGATAAATCAGTACAATCCACATACCTTCTGTGATGAAAATGAAACCTCAGGACTTGTGTAGCCTGAGTAATTAGAGACTATTACTGTGCTGTTAATGAAAAGGCCGTCCATCTCCATCAGTTTCAATCTACCAGAGAGATGCTGCAGAAGACAGATGACTTCTCTTGTTAAGATTTATAGCCTCAAAACCCTGATAGAGAATTGCTTTACATTGAAATCTACTCTGGCAGTGTGTATTTTGAATTTGAGTGAGATGTTGATACATTTAGGTTCATATTTTATATTGTTACAGGATGAGAATATAAAATTGGAGAGGTTCCTGGCCACTCTTGCTACCCTTTATCTCCAGACAAGCCAAGGGGCATGAGTTAAGATGCCAATGTCTGGAATTGTGACCCTGCTGTCCTTTAATAAAATCTAGAAGATTCGCTTGTTAGCATTCCACAAGGGGAGTGGATGCAGGAGGATGGACTCCTGCTAAATGAACTCACAAGAGGCAGATGTACACACTCCAATAACAATTTTCGTTTGCAAAGCAGAACTAACATTTTTGAATCAATTAGTCAGAACATTTCCCTTGAATGAAAATATATGTCAAAAGCGAAATTAAATTGCCATGTAGGAGGCTCAGAAAAATTAGATGACACATATTCCATTTAGAGAAATGGTATTCTTCCAGGAAGACTGGAATATTCCTTTTCTATACCAAGCAATAGCTACCCTGGGCTGGGAAAACCCTGTAAGTCGTGCTCATTTACTCACTGCATTGATTTAGTTTCATGCTCATCTTCTATCCTTGGAAAAGCTAATAAAAATCTTTCTTCGAATGTGGTTCAGTATCATGGGTCTGCAGTGTAATCTGCAGAGAGTTGCACTCCTAATCAAAGGCGGTGCCTCTCTGGGAGTTTGCCTCTACCGGGGCTCCACGGCAGAGAGATGGAGAGTCTCTTCTCTAGTGGTTTACAGCCGTGGACACCCACAGGAGGGTCAGCAGTGAATCTGTCTCACTCAACGACAGTGACTATGATTGATAACGTAAAGCCATATTTTACTGATGCCTTTTGGCCACATAAATCCTTTAGATTATTTCCACAAGCAACATATTTTATATGTCATTGTTCCCATATATTCTGAGGAAGTGCTGCTATGTTTTACATCCATCTTCAGTACTTACTATATTGGTTGTTCCTTTTTTTAAAAGCTGTAATACTGCCAAATCTGGGAGGGGGAGGGGGAGGGGGAGGAAAAAAAAAGAAAACCCTTCATTGCTGTTGAGTTGGAACCAACTCATAGGTTCCCTTCCTGTGGGTTTTCCAGTACTGAGCCGCTGGTGGGTTCACACTTCTGGAGAAGGGCCACCTTGGGCTAGCAGGGCGACAAAGTTCTCCAAAAGTTTTAACAACTCTAGAAAAGAGCTCCTTTAATGTATTCCTTTCTGATTGCTCTTCTCTAGTTCACTTTCTCCCATGTTTTTAGATTACTGACGATACCATTGCCTTTTCAGAATCATCACTTCTTAAATCTCTTTTCCCTCCCCCTTTCAACCTTCATTTTCATCATAATAATTTTAATTTAATAATAATAATAAATTTTTTCAGATGTCAAATGTCACCATAATTTTTACCATTGAGAAGGGGACAGACATTCTTACTTCAACCATTTGTAGTTCAGTCTGCACTGTGGTTCCTGTATTACCATTGGACAGACCATCAGTGGAAAGTCTTCCTTTGTTAGTGATACCTTGTTCTAATTCCTGGATTTTCATATGGAGCTCCATTGTGGTAACCAACCACTCAGCACACTTTGGAGTGCCTTTCTTTCAGTTTTCTTTTCTCCCTTCCTCCTCCTTTTATTAATGTTGATGAAGTCCCGTTTACCTACTCTTTCTTTTGTCCCTTGTACTTTTTAGTGTCAAGTCTAATAAGATCTTACTTAACTCTAGGTCAGAAAGATTTACTCCTTTATTTTCTTGTGTAGTTCTCGTATTTGGTTGTAAGGTTTATACTTTGCATTACTTTTTATATGTGGTGTGAGGTGGAGTTGAACGTCATTTTTGTTTTTGCATGTGAACATTCAATTGTTTCAGCACCATCTGCTGAAAAGATTATTGCATCCACATTGAATTGTTTTGGCATCTTGCTTTCTTTTAGAAAAAGAAACAGTACATACAGGAAGAGATGGTCATAGAAATTAAGAGAAAAACACAAAGACAGTAATGTTTATCTTCTCAAGATGTTAGCTGATAGTCCTTTGAGTTCCTAGATTATCATGGTCTTACAGTAACACAATAGCTAAGACAAGGGCCAGGGAATCCAGAATTAAGCATAATTTTCAGCTGTAACACATAAGAGTTATGTGAGCATGATTTCTATAACCTCAATTTTCAGACGCTATTTGGCACCGACTTAGAGCTGATCCTCCAGTGGGTTTTTGGCGGCTGTAAATTGCATAGAAGAATGTTGCATATCTTTCTTTCTCAGCCTCTTTGGGTAGGAGTGCAGCTCCCTGTGGACTATACCACCAGAACTCTGTTTAGAATGTACGTGATAATACCAAACTCGTAATACTGTCTTTATTGAGTCACACATGGTTGAGATACTAGGGATTTTCTCACTAAGTACTGCCCAGAAAAATTGGGCCATAGACCACTGTTTTTTTGTATCCTATTATTATTTTTTTTGAGGTTTTCTAAATTTGATGGTTTTTAACTTAGTGTCATTAAGCCCAATTAATAGCAGCCCTCTATTATGTTGCCAAGGCTTTAAATATTTTTTTTTAATTTTTAAATTTTTTTTTTATTTCAGCGAACATCTACAGAGATTTTGGAATTCCATTCATTCATTGTTGCACTTTTCTCCCTGCCCACCCCTCCACCCCCGTTCGCTCCTCTCCTTGAAAAGCATCCTATTCTTTTTCTTCTAGTGTATACACATTTCTATCTCTTTACACTTATCCCTTCAAAGACCCCCTCAATTTCTACTTCTTATTCTGACTAGTTTTCTTTCTTTTCTGATCTTGAATAGAACTAGACAAAAACTTATTGGAGTTTTAATTAGTAATAATTAATTGTTGTTGTTGATTGCCTTCAAGTCGAGCATGACTCATAGTGACCCCTATGAAGAAAAGGCTTGAAGCCCCTCTATGACTATTGACATTTGTTGAAGTTCATAGAGTTTCCGGAGACATGTTATTTAGGAAGTAGGTGCCATTAATTAGAAATAATTAAAACTCACAAATCTCTTCAAGACCTGGAAGAAGAAATCTCAAGTAATAAAATTTCCTTTGACTACCTTCTAACAGAGAAACTTCTTTGGAAACAAGTTTTTTCCATTTCATAGATGATCTTTCAAGGCCTTCCCAAACTTTTGATTCCATGATCCTAAACTTGAGAAGGCATCTTTCCCAGCTCATTTGCCTGGTCAAACTATTGTTCGGTTTTTGTTTGTTTGTTGTTTTTTTTTGTTTGTTTGTTTGTTTTTAAAATTTAGATTTTCTTCTCCAAGGAGAGGGGGCATTTTTATCCTTCATAGTAGTGTATCTACTTGTGAAACTTCAATGACTTCACTGCAGAAACTGTGAAAGTAGGTCTCATAATCCAAGAGAATTCTTTTGGAAGACTTGAGGAAGGTGGCTTATGTCGGCCTTTTGAAAAAGGACTCATTCAGCGCTCAAAGACTTGAGGCCTTTGGCTTTGGCTAGCTGGCACTGAAGCCCTTGCCAGCTGAATTTTGGATTGGACATTTATTACCACTACTCATTGCTCCCATTTGCTCTGCCTTTTCCTATTTTCTTTCCTAACACCTCTCCTAGGGTATTTTGGTAGCATCGTTTCTAGGGAGTTGGGCTGCTAACCTAAATGTAGCCAGTTCAAATCCATCAGCCAGAGGTGGATGATAGTTTGCAAGAAAAAGATAGGCAGCCTCCTCCTGTGTGATTTGCAAGCCTCTGAAAACCCAGTGGGGGATCATTTATTACTGGACTCTTCTTCTCATTCTTTCCTGTTTACTTCTTCTCTTTTTCATCATCACAGTAAGCATTCAAATGAAAATTTGTGAAAAGGCTTTCATTTGCTTTCTGATGGCACTAGGTCTGTCTTTTTTCCTAATTTTACTTTTACATGTGAGTAATTATATTTATGGTCTTAATTACCAAGATAACATTGATTTGTCATATTTCATTTTGGTTTCTTGCACATCAAAATTTTCAGTGGGATAATGTGGTTTGGACAGTTCACGTATAAATACATAATTACAAACCTTTGCTTACCTGTGTAAAACTGTAAGGTAGATTGGAAATATTGACTGACTTTCAAATGACTGAAGAATACTATTTTTGAAAATTTATTTTATTTCAATTTTTATGTACTATGGTTTGTTTTTTTATTTAATTGAACTGAATGGATATGTTGCTGTTGATTATGGTTTTGGAGTCTGGGCATGAATTCTGAAACACCTCTGTGCTCACACTCTAATATATAAAATTTAGATAATTCAATACACTATTTTATCTGTGTGTTTCTTTTTAATATAGAATGGTTAAAATTACTACTCTGTAAATAAATTTAATAGAAAGAATGACTCTATAGCTACTGTGATTATTAGTGCTATAATGATAAGAATGTTTTTCAGGAGTATCTAACTTATCCCTATTGAGAATTCTCTCTAAGACTTCAGGTTTGAGCAACTCTTTCTGGATGGTGTGAAATCCACACTGCTGTAATTCAGTGAGGAAATAACATACACATTTATGTCTTCTCTCTAGGTTAACTGGAGAGTTCAGTAAGAAATCTGATCAAAGTAAATAACCTTATTCCTCTTCAACAGAAAGATGGAGACCTCCCAACTTCAAAGAAAAAACGCCAAGCAGGGGAGAAGATCATGTACACTTTGGTCTCAGTCCCGCATGGAAATGACATTGCGTCTCTTTTTGAACTGGATGCCACAACTCTACAGAGAGCTGACTGCCTGGTTCCGAGGTAAAAAAAAAAAAAATTACAGCGAAATGATAGTGTTTCTTTGAATATTTTTATTATTAGGTGAGGAATTAAAACCATAATATTAATATACATTTCATGATACAAGGAGATTAAGTATAAATGAACAAATATGAAACAAGCCTTTTATGTGAATGGATTAACATAGTTTATAAATCATTAAAATTTGTAGGACCAAAGCAATTCTGAAAGTTCTTAAAACTCATTTATTATTGTCAGTTATATGACCTTTGCTTACTAAAATGATAGACAGTGAAAACTTTCCCTACTTACTTTTTGATGTGGCCTTCACAGATTTACTCATCTATTCATCCTTTGTTTCATTTATTCAGCCATTCAGCCAACAGACATTTATTGGGTGTTTACTACATTTCAGGCGCTGTTACAGTCACTGGGAAGATAATAGTGAAATATTGGCTATGTCCTGGTTTTCATGACCCTCTCTAGTGAGAAACTGTACATAAACAGTAAATGGATAAGCATGAAGTATATGGTCAAGTGTTAAACATGTTTTAGAGACAAATTTCAGAGTTAGAGAGTTCTATTAAGTAAAAGTGTTTAGAAAGAGCCTGAGTTGAAACATTTGAGAAACGACTTGAATGACTTGAGAGATCATACCATTTCCATCTGTGAAAAAGCATTTCAAAGCAGCAGACACAGGAAATATAAAAATATTGAAATTTACAATTGTGTAATGCTAAGACTAGCCTTAAGGCCAGTTGGAGGGTGGGGAGTGTGGGTGGAAGAGAATTAGTCATAAGATAACCAGGACTTAATGTTAGATTAAAAAACTAAAACCAAAACTGCCATTCTTTTTCTTGAAATATCACTATTATAAGTAAGCTTTTTCTGCATTTATCTCCCAACTTTCCAACAATTGTTGTTGTTGTTGTTATGTGACATCGAGTTGCTTGCGACTCATAGTGACCCTATGTACAAGAGCTCTAAATGTCATTCTATCCTGTGCCAACCTAGCCATCCCAACTGCACTTATTCCCATCACTCCAGTCACAGAATCGATCCATCTCATCGAAGGTCTTCCTCTCCTGCGCCGCCCCTCCACTCTTCCACCAAAACATAAGGATATACTCTCAAGATTCATAGAAGAGCCTTGCCTATATTAATAGGTCTAATGGTCCGAATGCAGACTAGTCTTCATAGAACATTATTGTACTTGGATAAATGGGATGTTTAGGCAGAAAGTGGCTACACATAAATGCATATGTCATTCTCTTCCAGGTATTAAGATAGAAATTCATCCTCTTTGTGACTTGCTTCATTTCTCCAGCAAATTTTTTTTCTTATTGTCCTAATCTTGGGTTTATTTTAGTCTAGTGTATGTATGTTCAAATATGTGACTGTAAAAATATTTACTATGTAAGTGTTTTAAATTAAAATAAAATTTGCTTTTAGGAACTCATATGTTCGGTTAAGGCATCTATGTACCAACACATGGGTAACCAGTACTAGCATTCCTATCGATACTGATGAAGAGAGACCTGTTATGTTGAAGGTAAATGTTGCTGGGAAGGGTTTAATTTTCAACCAAATGTTTTGTGATTAGGATTGGTGTTAATGAGTCAATTTTCATATTATTAGAGATTATTGCAGTTAAGAACATTAAAAGTTCATTTCTGCCAATTATTTACTTCAGTGACCAAGTTGTGGCTGTCATGGAGGGAGGTGCAGCTCAGATATCAGAGAGGTGTGGTAGCAGCATGTGTGAGAGAAGTTGCCAGGAGTGCATTTCTCTGCTCTTTCAAAGCTGGAATAAATAACAAGCTTGACTGGTATATGTTTCAGGCGCAGTGGTGGGGTTAGGACTGGAATCAGACAGAGAAAACTTCCGAGTTTCAGAACTGAGTGACAGACGTGGGAATTGTGTTGTGTGTTATTTATTCTTGTCTTTTACTAAAAAAAACCTTACTGAAAGTTGTTATTGTGTAAAGAATACTGCATAGCTATTTATTTAAAAAAATAAAGGAATCTTAATGGAAAAACTCATTGCAGATTGGAACATGCCAAACAAAAGAAGATAAAGAAGCATTTGCCATTGTCTCCGTCCCACTGTCTGAGGTCCGAGACTTAGATTTTGCCAATGATGCAAATAAAGTGCTGGCAACCACAGTTAAGAAACTGGAGAATGGCACCATAACTCAGAATGAAAGGAGGTTAGTATCTTTTAAAAATGACTCTTCAGTCATCAGAACCTATTGTCAACTCTTGCAGTAAACTTTAAGTGAATGAGTCACTCTGCGGGAATGTTAAGAATATTCTTGATAGCAGCTCATCTGTTTCTGAATGAGGTAGAGACTTGATTTCTCTTAAATGTGGTGGGTAAATGAAGATGATGACATAAAAAGCTGACTGTTTACTTTTCACATTTAATCATGGCTTGGAAACAGTTGTTTTTAGTCACTGTCTAGTCTGTTGTTGCAGAAAATGTTCTAAAAAATTTGTGATACCTTTTACCGCACTGGTAAGTTTGGCAGTAAAGAAACTTGATTTAATATTTGGATTTAGTATTGTTGGTTTTAAAAGAAGTTTTATGTTCTTAGGTTTCAAGATACATTTCTCAATTTAGGTACCACCAAGCAAAGATACTCAAATGAGGAAACAACCCCAAACCAAACCCCTTCCCCAAAACTGCAAGATAAAATCTTCTGCCCTTATAACTCTCTGAGAGAAACTAGATCTGTGATTCTAGAGCTCTAGTTAGAGAAATATATGGGACAAGAATGATATCGAGGGTTAACAGTGATTTATCCCTACCTTGTGTGAATGAAGTTCTGGTGGTTGAGTATGTAGGGCGTTTCACTGTTAACTCGAAGGTCATGCCTCTCTGGTGATTTGAACCCATCAGTGACTTGTTGGAGAAGATGGGCTGTCTCCTCCTGTTGGATTTGCAGCCTTTGAAATATCTGCTGGGAGGTGAGCCATGAGTCAGTTTTGGCTCATGACAATGACCAGTGGCATATTCATGACATGTTGACCTACAGGTTGCAGTTTAACAAGCTGTTTTACTGAAGAGAGATAGTCTCCTCCCTTAGAAAGTGATAGTCTTGAAAACCTGGTAGGTGGTCGTCATGCATTGGAATTGACTGATAGCACCTTGATTTCACTTCCTCCAACACACACTTGTTTGTTCTTACATGGCAGCCCAGGGGCTACTCATCACTCTTGGCCCACATCCTAAGTCCAAGACATCAAGATTCTTCCTCAGTCATCCTTACGCATTGTCCAACCACCAATTACATGAGAGGCAATTAAAAATACCGTGGATTTGATCAGGCACACCTTAGTCTTTAACGTGACATTATAGCCCCTTAGCACTTAGGAGAGTATAAGAGCATAAGCATTCTCCCTATTTCCATTGTTCATGATATGATGCATTACTTTCTATTTAAACAAGAAAACTGTTTACCAGTCTACCCAGGACTCTCATTAAGAGTCTACATTAGAACTCTCATAGCTGGTGAGGTGAAAATTGATGTATGGCTTTTGAAAATAGTTTGGCAATAACCAGCTTGTTCACTATCCCATCCCTCTATCCAAAAGACTCTTCTATATATATATATATTCACTAGGACATGCATTCTAGAATATTCATACTTTTTTCCTAAATGCCCCAAACTGGAAACTATCCAGCTGTTCATTGCCAGGTGAATAGATAGATAAAGTGTGCTACATGCATACAATAGGGTCGCTCTAGTGATAGATGTAAAGGGACTATATCTATGTGTAACAGCATGGGTAAATCGAATAAACTTTGTATTGAGTGAAAACTAGACACAACATATACATTTACTGTAATTATGTCTGTAAAATTAGAGAGAGAAAAAAGGCAAACCTAAATATTTCTTTGGGGTTTTAGGCAATTGGCACAACTATAAAGAAATGCAAGGAAGTAATTACTACAGAAATTAGGATGGTGGTTACCCTTCAAAGGGAGAGTTTATAATTGATGAGGAGTTTGTAGGAGCTTATACAATGTCCTATTTGCCACTTTACACAGTGGTTTCATGCGGATTTATTTTAGAAGTACTTCTTAACTAAATACATATACATACATATGAGCTTTTGGATATATATCTTGCAATAGAAAGGAAAAAAAAATCTGACCTACGTCCCCTCTTCATAGCAGTTGGCTTTAAAAAAAATCTTGAATATGCAAATTTCCCAGCATTTCTCTGTTCTTAGATCTCTTTCACCCATAACAAATCTGCTCTTGGAACAACTCTTTGTGTACAGTTGTACCTCCAATCTGGTTGGCAGGAAATTACAAAGGCTAGAAACTAAACAACTGCCTCAGTCTTCTGAACTATAGATAATCACATCACAGAACCAAAATGTGTGAGGAAATGTAAACCAGTATGCATAATAGCACTTTTTATTGATTCTTTTCTTTTTGTCACTTTCACATATTGCCACCAAATTTAGACAGCCTCACTTAAAAAGCCTCTTTAAGCATAACGGTATTCTTCAATTAAAATAAAACAACACATTCTAAACGGCATCAACACTACTGGCTACAGTTGTACCCAATTTACTCTTCCGTTTCTGCCAAAGAGCATTTTAAGTGTTACAATATTATACTAGGGGAGGTGGGGGACCAGGGTTGGTTGGGTAACCTGCATATTTATTGCCCCTGTTCTCTTCTCTTCCCTACTGTATAACAGTGAAAAACATCATAACTGAGAGAAAGCTTTGTGTGAGAAATAAGAAGATACAGTCTTTGACCTTAATTTAGTAATTTCAGAAAAGCCACTGCCTATCAAAATGCATTCAAAGCTCTTGTCAGGATAGTAGGCATATTGGCATGGTGGAATGCATCAATACTATTTTCTCTGTTGTAGAAGTTATTATAAAATTCTTTCACCAATTTTTTCGAGGAAAAAGCAACCCAGAACTCTGTCTTTTCTTCCCTGTGGAGAATGGAGTTATTATTAGACATTCTTTTACTCAAACTTGGGAAAATGATACAAGGGAGAAGGAGAAGGGATAGAATATTGCAGATCTCTGTCACAGAATACCCGCATTCTTATACCTGCATTCTTTGAATCCTGTCTTTTTGCTCCCCCTTTTACTCACCCAGCGATGGACCCTGGAGACATAGCTCCAGTGTTCTGTTCCAAGGTTATGAACCTCTGAGATTTTTCAGAGCAAAGTTTTTGATCTTATTCTGTACCATTTGCATCAAAAGTAGAGAATATTTGGAATAAAGTGAAGGGGATAAAGGAGGGCAGGGTGTTAAGTGCAATTCCGAGCTTGAAAAAGTAATGATGTAATTTTAAGCCATAATTTCTGTGTTGTGTTTTACCTCTGTTGTTAGTTGTTGAGTCTTGCCTCATGGCAGCCCTGTGTGTGCAGAGGAGAGCTGCTCTGTAAGGTTTTCAAGGCTGTGTCCTGTTAGAAGCAGATCGCCAGACCTGATTTTGAAATACCTCTGGGTAGCTTCCTTTCTCTATACCTGTTCGGTCTGTATGCAAAAGAAATCATTCGAAGAGCTGGACTTCATGAAGAAGAAAGTGGCATTCGGTTAGGAGGAAGATTCATCAGCAATCTGTGTTATGCAGATAGCACAACCTTGCTGGAAGTGGGGAGGACTTAAAGCACTTGCTGCAGAAGACCGAGGACTTCAGCCTTTAATATGGATTATGTTTCAATATCAAGAAAACAAGAATCCTCACCACTGGGCCAGTGAGGAGCATCACAGTAGATGGAGAAAAGATTGAAATTATCAATGATTTTATCCTACTTGTATCTGTAATCTACACCCATGGAAATCAGATCGGAGATCTGCAGAGTTTGCTGTCAAGGATCTCTCTAACGTCTTGAAGAGCAGTGATGTCAGTTTAAAGACCAAGGTGCACTTGATCCAAACCATGCTCTTTCTAATCACGTTATGCATCTGAGCTGGACAATGAATAGGGTGACAGAACTTTGGTCATGTTATCAGAAGAGGCTAGTTCGTAGAGAAAGACATCATGCTTAGAAAGGTGGAGGGTCCACGAAAGAGAAGAAACCCCTCTTTAAGATGGATTGACACAGTGACTATAGCAATGGAGTCAAGTTTATCAGGGATGGAGTCAAGTGTGTTGGCGTGGGTTAGGGCTTGGTTCAGAGCTGTTGTTCTTAGCATCACTTGAGTTGTTTACTGGACAGTGCATAAGAACAACAACAACAACATGTATTTGTCTTCTGTCTGCCTATCTATCTATACATATATAGTAGTAATACTGTGGTAAACTCATTGACCTTAATCAGTTCTGACTCATAGCACTACTCTGCAGAGCTGCTTCCTAGGGTCCAACGCTGTAAATATTTATGGGAGCAGAGTGCTCTGTCTTTCTCCCAGAATGACTGGTGGGTTCAAACGGCAGACCTTTAAATTAGCAGCCAACCACTTTAACCAGTACACTTCCAGATGTCACAAACTTGAAGATGTCACCTTGAAGGTTAGTGTTAGCTCCCTCATAATAAATGTTAAAAATATAATCTAAATTTCCTTTAATTAGCTATGTCAGTTACCTTCATTTAATAAAGAATTAACTTGGACTTACTTTGAATTTTTTTTTTCTATCTATTAGAGTTGGTTTTCCTACTTCCATTCCTTTTTCACTAGTAGATTGATAAAGTTTTATGTATTTCCCCATCTCTCCTTTAACTCTTTTCATATAAAAGTTATATGTGATGTATTCAATTCATTAGCAATTGTTTTTGAGTTATAGCTATATATTTTAATGACATATTCTTTGTTATAAAACATAAGATTATAAAATAGTTATTTCTTCTTTTGGAAGATACGCATAGCAGCATGTTTTAATTATATGCTGACAGCTTTCCTACCATCTTTCTTGTTATAATAATATAAAGCTCTCTGTTCATTATTTTACCTTTTACATTTTTATTTTGTGGTATTTGGTATACCTAAGAACATAAACACAGCATAAAAATGATGATACATCACCTTTAACCTGAAAAAATTTTTGTTTCTAAAGATGATTTTCAGTAGCCAATTCAACTTCTTAATATATTTTACCTGTTTACCTTTATTTCTTGTGTCTCACTTCTCTCTGGATTGAGTTTTTCACATTGACTCTCTATTCAGTGAGTGTGCGTAGATCATAAATACTCTTTATTCTTATGCATATGAAAATGTCTTTATTTT